GCCTTGCGAATCTTCCCAATTCGATACGTTCTGCAACTGTTTAGACTGCCGCCGCATTCATACCACAACGTATCACCCAGAAGCCAACGGGTTAGTTGAACGGTTCCATAGACAGCTTAAATCCTCGCTCTGCGCCACCTCCGACCCTAGCTGGAGTGAGAACATTTCGCTCGTACGCTTAAGCATTCGCAGCAGCATCAAAGCTGACTTGCAATGTGTACTAGCAGAGCTAGTTTACGGCACAACGCTAAAGTTTCCTGGAGAATTCGTTTCACCTGCCGCATCGTCGGGTATGCCTCCGCTTAACTTTGTGTGTGCCTTAGCTCAACGCATGCGTTCACTAAGCCCGAATCTGCCCCATGAGCAGACTACGGATGTTCAAATGTACAGCGGACTCTCAGCCTGCACTCACATCTTCCTCCGCACCGACACAGTGCGGCGCTCTCTCCAGCCTCCCTACACCGGTCTTTGCAGAGTTTTGCAACGGACTCCGAAGCATTTTATTTTAGATTAGAATGTTCAACACACAACGGTGTCCATCGACAGCCGCAAAGTGGCTTTCTTTGATGAGCAACTTGCAACACATCCAGATGCAATCACATTAGCACCCATACCTGCGGTGAATTCCCGAGCACTGGATATCCCGAAACCGTTCTCCTTGACCCTAAACTTACCCCGCCTCAACCCCAGGCAACGGACTGACGCGGTAGACAGGTCAAACGTCCGGTCCGTTTTGTAAATTTTGTAAACGCTTGCTACTTCCATTAACACGCCATTTTCGATTTTAGTGGGTATGGTACGTCATGTTCGCCAAGCTGTTACAAAATCGACAAAAATCCCAAAACATTTTGAAAACCTAAAAAGCATATTTGCTTTTATCATACATGCCATGTACCCTCTCCAGCGTCAAGCCACTTCCCCGACCCTTGCCCACCCCATCTGCGTTCTACCTTCCAGAAGCTCAACCGTAGAACGGCCAAGGCAACCCTCGAGTGGATCGCCAACCGGCCCAACGCAACCAACGACAGACTCGCCAGCCGACCCAAGGCCCCTTCCTGATCCAAAGAACAGTCAGTCGCCCTCGACCGCAGACAGCCACGAACTGATTGGTCCCATAACTCCTGACTAGGCGTTGCTGACGAGTACGCACGGATTTCTTCGTTGGACGAGGACCGTGGACAAGTGCGGTGTGTGTGTGTGGGGGGGAGTGACGTCGCCCATGCGCACCGTCGGGTGTGAAGCAAAGGGAAGGTCCTGTCGGCCTTTTCTCTGAACTACCCAGTTTTTTTGCAGTCCGACCAGCCCGCCCCGACGGCCCACCGTTGCTGCACTCTGGTCCACCCGATTATCATAAATAATTAGTAACAAAGGCCTGGACCCAGCGAACTCTGCTGCACACTCCGTCTTTGAAGCCCTTGTTATTTTTCGTAAACATCCTTACCTTCAATTTTCCCCCATTAACAGCTCCAACGAAGGTTTCCATCCTTCAGCCTTCTAGGGGGTGGCCCTTGTAGTGTACCGGAAAACACGCGCTTTCAGCAGTTTGCAACATTCGATTGTACGGTTCCTTTAACTTTCAAAACGTCCGCTTGTCGTACTGACTGCACTTCCGTTGACACAAAAACGTTTTGGTGAGTACCTTGATGTACCGTTTCTCGCTCTGGCTGATTCGCTTCCTATTTTGGTAGCCTGCACAATATACGTTCGGTTAAGTCGCCTCCAACTTCTGTACTGTCCCATATTTGACACGTCTCTTACGTGTCGTTGATTACCGACTAGTATTCCAGGCCCTACGCAACAAGCACGCAAACACAGTGGGAACCCCGGTTCACTCTGAAATTAATCTTTGCCCTTTCGATCACTGGAACCGCATCTGCGGCGTTCAAACCTGGAAGAAACCGGTCGGGAATTTCAGTGTTGGGCAAATGAGTTGTATAAAAAATCAAAGTTAGATGAGGGCTAAGTTGATTTAAGTCCCCAGACTTCGTGAGTGCTCTAGCGAACGCGGTAGAGTTGAGGTAATTATCAATGCCTACTGATAATATGAAGTTGTTTTTATGAGTGCGGAAATTGCCATTTCAGTTACCGCAAATTTTGCTACTTGTCTGCTTTCGAAAATACCCTCTTAAATATTAGACCGACTTTTGAACCACTGACTACTGGAATCCTTACAATACTATCGACGTTATCGGTTGCTGCCAATGACGGCGACGGCAGCACGAGTGTCCATTACACTCGTTTTGATGCAAGCTGTGCTCAGTCTGCGGTAACAGTGAAAGACGATGAGTAGTATGTCACTTTTCCGATTTATTGCAGATGGACGAAATAGGCCTAGACTTTACGACACCATGCTTGTCATTATCTCATGATATCATGCTGATTTTGTCATGTTGACATGGCTTTCGACTATTTCGACACTCCGGACTAATCTTTAGTATTGCGTCGACGTTGCCCTAACTTACTTAAGATATTTATCCCATGTATCTAGGGTGATGATATTTTGCGGTTACGACTCACTCAGCAGGGTACTCTCACACAACTGAGATGATCTCCGTCGTCCTCGTTTTTCTTTCATTCTGTGGATCTCAACACGGTCATCTGGCGGAAATTACTAAACTATGAATTTCCCACTTCACTATGCCATTGCCCTATAGTTCCGTTAGGTACAGCAGCTTAGGAGGAGCACTCTTCTTCTGTCCACCTTAAATGTGTAGTTTTCATCCAATGAGGAGATGCATTGTCAGCTTGATGAAGTTACAATCATGTAGCCGTTGGGATTCCTGGTGACAAACGTCTTTGTAGTGAACTTGGAGCATAGTTCACTAAGGTCGCACATCAACAGAGTTGAATTATATAAACGTTATGTGATGACAACGTTGCGCTATACAACTCGAAATTGCTGGCCTTCAAACGACTGTAACTTTTCACGGAGGCTCAAATGAATCTGCATTTCACTTGGGAACACGAGCCCGGAGACGGATTACAGTTTGTGGACGTTTACATTATCAGCAACACCAATGGATCATGCAGCAGAAAGCTGTGATGACACTAGAGTATAAACGAAATCTAGTCTGCACGCTTGTCTTTTGGGGTGCGCAGTATTTGTGCACTGAACATAGTTACCGAGTGATTTCAAAGGATCAACGACGCCTAAAGTGCAAACGGGTGTCCGGATAAATCCATCCACAAATTCTTGAAGGAAAGCAAGAGATGTGAATCATGAGACGAGTACCTTGATGGAACAGCGGACTTACACCATTTCCTTGTGTGTTTGGCATACACTTATGTGTAACTTCCTTTTGCTAACCACCCGAAAGCATTCACAAGATGACAACTTGGATGGAAGTCGTGGGACTAACCCTCTGCTGTTAGAATGGGTGCTAAGTAATCATACAGCACACAATTACTTACGCCGGTAACAATTTATTAAAGAACCCAGTAATTGGTCGGTATTAAGTTATAAAAGTATGCCTTTTCGTTTCAAGACTGAAGTCATCTACCTTAACGCATCAGGTTTCACTGGAAAGTTTTAACTGTCACTTGCCAACTACAACCCTTTGGTCGTTTGACAAACGCAAGCAGATTCTTGTAGACTTGTGATGTAAGTCACAGGAAAACCTGAAAAGCATTCGATAAAGTTCTGCGCAATTTTTTCAAAATCCGCACAACAGAGATATTGCAGGCTGCTGTGTTGGATAAATTCGGACCTAACTGACTTGAAACCGAGAGTCAGCATGCGCGACCGGTGATGAAGGACCAAGGGTATCTCCCGTGACTAATCAGATGATAGCGTACTCCATTCTCCACTTTTAATGCTGTTTGCAAACATCGTTGCTGAAATCACAAACATAACATCTTGTTTGTAGCAGCTATACATTTTAAATGCCACCAGTTCTCGTCTGCGGAGGTTGGCTTCGGAAATCTAGGATGGTATCAGTTGTCAAAAAGGCGGTTCGCAAGCTTTTCAGTGAATGTTTCAACGGTTGAGTACAAGAAAACAGTGATTTATTACCGGATATAAACAAATCCATCGGCCGATGGTCGAAAAGAACTGAGTGCTTGCATTGTATTCCGGAGGTCGCTGGTTCGAATCCGCGCACGTGCCGGAGAGCTCAGAGTATACCTAGCCCTCGCGCAACTGGTGCTGGTCGCGTGGCAGCGAAGCTTCGGTACGGTATGCAGGCGTACTTCTGTGGCCTTCTTTTTGCCTCAACAAATCCTGTGAGTTTCTTAGCACAAAATGGAAGAACACGTAATGCAAAAAGGAAAAGCGTTTTAGTAGACTCAGCGTAGTCTCCGAATATATGCGAGTTAGAATGCAAAAGTTAGGCGAGTCCGAATATCATCTAGATGTTTTGAACACGGATATTATGAAGTCGTAAATAGTCATTGGGGAGTCGGTTACATCTTTCGCTTGCACGAGGAGAAAATAGCTACATGTAAAACTCCAGCATTTTAAATTACGTGGGTAAGTTAAGCTGGTGCCTCCTCGGATTTCCGACGTGACTAATTTAGAGAAGGTGAGAGCAACCGCGACTGGAATCCTCAGGATCTGGTAGGTCATGAAAATTCAACCCATAGGCTTTGGTCCTGACCGCTGTACAGTCCTAGGGTACTCATCTTAATTTGACGCGGAAGTGGGGATAATCTTTTGACGGGCTTGGTGGTTCTTCGTTGTTGAGCCTTAAACGTGGCGAGGTCTTGTATCTTACAGGACTTGCAGGCCTGGATAGCGTATTCCACATGAGGCCGCACGTAGGTGTTAGGTAACTGCTGAAGGTAGACAGATCAAGCTGCTCGGACGCTTTCTGCAGAAGACTGGCTTGCCGGGAAGTCTGATTAGATGTACGGTTTCCCTGCCTCTACCGAATTCGTTTAGGGACTTAGATCTATGTTATATTTGATTTCCAATTAACCGATAATGTACGAGTAAAGCATGCAATCTATCTGAGTGATAAGTCGTACATTTGTAGCTGCCAAATCCAGGCTCATATCCTTTCATGCAAGTATCAGATATCTTCAAAAATGCTGTTCAACAAACTGTACATTTTACCACGAGAAAATATAGCAGCTATTGAGAACAACGCAGGTACTTGGCGAAGTCTGTTAATAGTTTATTAGCTCCATGTCATAAAGGGCGGTGATAGCGACTTTATAAAATCGTGTGGTGTATAATACTGAACAATTACTCCGGGCCATCATCTCAATATCCCTCATCATACAATCAACGGAATATAGAGTACGCCAAAATCTTCCCGTAAATGAACTCGCTTAAGGTGAACTCTTCCCCAGTCACCAACCGATAGAGATTATACCGACCAAGTTTAGCTATTGGAGCTTTTTCCAACTTAGGTATTTAGTGTATACTTTGACAGCCCAATACTCATTATACATAACAACAGCCATAAAATGAGCTAGTATGGTGATGGCTCGCTTGCTGTTATGCTTCGCCGACACGAAGCCTAATAGGACTCGGAAGTGCGAATGGAACATTTCGAAGGACTACTCCACATGAAAGCAGCTCCCCAGGAGTCAATTTCACGGATAGCCCTATTAATTCTGTTGTGCTTTTCTCAATAACCACTTACCTTCTACATTCAAAGTCTTTTTCCATTTGCCAGTTCTACCGACTCGACTCCCTAAAAACCTGCTTTGGAACTATTCTGGAAAATCTGAAAAAGCATCTGCATTTTGAGACCATGTTGTACCGAATGAGCTGCCTAAGTATGGACAATGGACAATGGTTTATTACGGGTAAAAAAGCATCGCTTAACAAGTCCCGTGAGATGGAAATTATTGCGAAAACTAATTGCATAATAAAGTGAAAAGCGTTGTGGTGGACTCACCATAGACTTATGTGAAATAGTGGAGATGTTCGCATATTAAACGTATAAATCCATAAATCCAATGGTTGGGCGTTTGGCAAGAAACCGTTTGACTGCGTTTTGTAGCCCCTGGCTAACAAGTCATAAAACGAAATGTAAGTGAGACAATGCATCGTCAACACGTTTTTTAAATATCGCCAGATTGGGAGCAGCGACGACATAATTAGGGAGGGCATTCCAAGGCTCACACATGCGGAGAGAAAAGAAATTTCTACGGCATTCAAGCCGGCTATAATGAATTGTCAGTTTCAGAGGGTGACCTCTTAGTTTAGTGTTGGGGTTCAATTCCAGCAGCGGACGGCAAATGTGGTTTGGGTTCTTC